GAGGACTGTCTGAAGGAAGCACCTGTTATTATCCACCTGACAAAAGGTTTCTTAACTTTACTGAGGACTGTCTGAAGAAAGCACCTGTTATTATCCACCTGACAAAAGGTTTCTTAACTTTACTGAGGACTGCCTGAAGAAAGCACCTGTTATTATCCACCTGATAAAAGGTTTCTTAACTTTACTGAGGACTGCCGGAAGGCAGCACCTCCTCTTATTATCCACCTGAAAGGTCCTGCTCTTCTATCAACTTTAATGCAGCCTGAACCTCAACATGTCCCCCCACATATGTCGTATCAAGACGACCGGCTCAGCACCGTGACGTGTGCTGTTACTTTTACAGGTGTTTCCAGTTACCATGGAGACATAATTTGTAAACAAAGACACCATTTTTCTCATTGAAAACACTGACAGAACTCTGAACAGCTTCTAAGTGACACAGTGACGTCACATGACCTGGAGGGGGGTCTCTGAACAAAACACTGATTAACTTTTGGAGACATTTTGTTTCAAGATGGCTGCCACAACTACCTCACAAAACTCTAAATTGAGTGGGCGTGTCAGCAACTGATCTAACGGTGACCTTAACTTGTAAAGAAGGTCAGCGCCCCTTACCTGCAGAGCTGCAGCCCATGATCAGAAATGTTGCGAAAAATCATCAGAAAAAATGTTTAAACGTTGTCAGTGGAGAACATGTAATCCAGACACGTGTCACCCTGAGCGTTTAGGGTGGGATACAGTTTATTACATTTCAAAAACTAAACAGTGTTTGGATAAATGTACGAAGCCAGCAGCTGCCCCCCTGATCAGCTGATTGTGTTATAAACAGGAAGTGCCACATGTTCACCTGTACGAAGGTAACTGGAGGTAAATCCTCCATTTTCTGTCATGATTACATCGTATGTTTAATGGTTAAATTAAAGGTTAATACTTAAAACTAGTTGTGCTTGGTTTTGTGTGTTTTATATGTAGATACATGTTGCAACTTCTGGTTGTATAAGTTCAGTCTTTGTAAAAACGAAACTGATTTTGTACAAAGTGTTTAATAGGTTGTGTAATGTAAAACTTACACTCTTACAAACTGAATTTCAC